ATGTGTCCCCTCTTCTTCATGTCTCTTCTACATCAACATGTGTCCCCTCTTCTTCATGTCTCTTCTACATCAACATGTGTCCCCTCTTCTTCATGTCTCTTCTACATCAACATGTGTCCCCTCTGTGGAAAGAGACTCTGAAAGTTTCAGGAACAAAGATTCTCTCTCTTTTTGTCCTGATCCATTTCTATAAAAACCTGTCTGAAAATGAGCTGATCGGATTTTGGCCACTTTATGATGTCATAGATGTGTTTTCTTGTGTAACCATTAGCCAATCACCAACCAAGATACCCCCCCCCCCCTTATCACCTGAATCTCCTCCTAGAGCACCATTGAGTTCTTTTTAACCAAATCTCTCTCAGAGGGGCGTGGGGAGGGGCTCCTTATTTTCATCTAAAGTAACAGACAGAGAATCAGCACTTTGGAAACAGGGCTGAAACAGAGGGGGTTATGGGTAATGCTGCAATGATCTGTTTGGTGTTTCAGCCAATCAGAGACATGTTCTGTATATATCTGAGACCTGTAATATATTGATGAAAAACAGTATAATAGGGGACCTTTAATGTGTATTCTGCTGATTTGTATGTATCGTTTGAGGCCCTTTAGTGACTTTTACAGATGTGTACAGTTGTTAAGATAATTTGTGGTGAGAGGTATAGAGGTACACAGAAGAAGCATCATAAATACTGTTATAAGTATTAGAAATCCTTTTGATTTAAGTAAAAGTCAACTTTATTGCCAGTCTTTCAGTTTGTGTGTACAGGCAGAGAGATCGAAATGTCGTTTCCCACAATCCCGAGTACAAAAAATGCACACATTACATAAATAAAAGCACAACAATCAATATATACAAAATAACACTCACTTCAAAAATGTTTGGGAAAAATAATGAACAATTGCTAATAAGTTGTGGTGCAGGAGGTTTTCTTGTTTACATATTTTGCACAATTTTTGTGATCGCTGAGGAAACGCCATTTTTACTCTTGTTATCATTTCTCCCCATGAAAAAGGGGCGTAGCATGTACAGGCTTTTAAAGAACATGAAACAAGTATTTTTAGGTTACATTTCCAAGGAAGCCCATGTCTATTTCCTAGAAGACAGACGCTTCTTATGACTCAAGATCATTACTGATATCGGCCATTGTTCCTGTCCCCTCCTATCAGAGCGTCCTGGTGGAGTCTCCGGTCTCTCTGGCTGTTTCTCCCGGAGTTATCTCCCTCGACCCGTCGATGTCCGAATCCCCGCTCTCCGCCCCGACCTCCATCATCTCTCCGGCAGTCGGGAGGAAAGGAGGCGCCGGAGGGAAGAAGGGGAAGAAGAAGAAAGACCCCAACGAGCCTCAGAAACCCGTGTCGGCCTACGCTCTGTTCTTCAAGGATACTCAGGCCGCTATCAAAGGACAAAACCCCAACGCTACCTTTGGAGAAGTCTCTAAGATAGTGGCCTCCATGTGGGACAGTCTGGGAGAGGAGCAGAAACAGGTGAGAGGGGGAGGAGGAAACTTTAAATCATGCTTATAGACATTTCATTAACCCATCAGTCCAATCTTCTTTCGTTTATCAAACTCTAACTGTGAAAGCGGAGTTTTGAGTTCAGGAATCAGATATCAAGTTGTGTGAAATCAGACGTTGGCTAAATAACACGTGGTAACATTCAAACACATTTCGGTGCATTATTTCCCCCTTTTATTTCAGGTTTACAAGAGGAAAAACGAAGCGGCAAAGAAGGACTACTTGAAGGCGCTGGCCGAGTACAGAACCGGACAGATTTCTCAGGTGAGTGCTTCGTTAAAAAACGAAATGTGGTCATCGACAAACTTTCTACTAAGTTGAAACGATAAGAAAGGACATTTGACACGGCACTAAGGCTGGAGCCACACGAGAACGGTAACGGTCGTATCCGCTACAGTTCTCTATCATACAGACGGTTCGGCCACACGAGGCCGACAGGGAAACGCAGAGAACGATAACGGGTCCCAAGGTGGGTAGATCAGCGGACGAAACGCTCTGGGGGGGCAAACGGCTCCGTGTCTACGCCCTATGCGTTAATATCCTGATAACGATGACGCAATAGCCCCGCCTCTCCCCACCTCTCCCGCTCACCCCCGTGTCACCTGCGTCATTGCTGATGTGTTTCGCCAACAAGAAACAACAACAGTTTTCCGAGTGTTTCGAGTCAGGTCCCGGTATCTCGCAGGACAGTGTCTCCAGCAGACCCCCCCCCCCCCCTCC